AATTAGCGTTTTGGGATTAATTAAGTGGCACTTGAATATGTCAAACGCGCACTAAGCGCATGCACTTGTCGCCCACGGCTTGAGTTTGAGGTTATGTAAACGATGGTGCTTGGTGTAAGGCTGAGAGGCTGTGAGGCTGTAAGGAGTAAAAGCGATTGTCGGATGCAGTTGAAATTTAGTGATAGTGATAGTGCCAAAGGAGTGCTTGTGTGTGTGTATGTTTGTGTGTAACTGTAACACAAATGCAATTTTAATTACATATGAAAGATTATGTCTATATTAGCAAATATAAATACATACATACATACATGCATACAACTACTTGCATCATTTAATATACCCACGCATATTTCTAGCTCGTTTGTATGTATGTATGTATGTATGTATGCAAATGCTAATGTATTATACGCGCCATTGATATGCCCTTTGGGCCTTTCTAATACAATATAAGAGTAATGGAATTATATGTAGCAAATAACTTACATAATATTCCCATAACGGTAATTTTGTAATCTGCTAAGTGCTATTTGTGTCATTTTGTAAGCGCAGCATCGCTTAGCTCACTCGCTATCTATGTACATATCTATGTACATCTGCATTCGTATGTCTGTAATTTGTAGACTTCAATGCCCGCCTGCGTACTTGTGTCGCTCGCCATCAAAGTCGGCGTTAATTTGTAATTAATGATTACTCGTTTGAGCGAATGTAGGCCAAGACAATACTTGAGTGTCGAATTTAAGCGGTTGCCCAGCTGTGGGGCGCACAAAAAGTATGCCAACAAACAATGTTGAAGATTTAAGAGTTTAAAGACAAATGTTGGTCACAAATATGGAGCTTTCTTTCGAGAAATTAACTCATCTACGAATTGAGAGCGCCGCACATTGCGTGAGGATATTGTGGTTAGTTGGTGGGTTTAAGGCTAAGTTAGGTTAGGTTGCACTGATAGGCTGCTACTCCTTTGTAGTAGCATCTAAATATCTGAGCCTTGCTCTTTATAAGTGCGGAGAAGATATTTTCTGCATGTACACTCTTAGCAATGACGATTTGACACAACCTCCTGCAGGTTAGGGGCTCAAGAATTTACGCGTGATAAGGCAGGCCTGTCGTAAAAGGCGACTAAAACCCAATACTTCCCGCAACAGTCGGGTGCTTATACCGGAACGACCTAGATTTTTATCCGCCCAAGGACTGTCGCTCCATAATATTCCCCGAAAACCAAATCGGGAAATAATTTGCAGCTACGACAACATAAACAACAACGGCAGGTTATGTGTGACATATTGTATACTTCTTAGTTGCCATTATTGTGACTATGGCGGTCCGGCAGATCCTTAAGCCACTCCAATTTTATCTCGAAACGCAGTAGTAGTCTCATAAACAATTTCCTCAATGCAGGCGCTCCATACACTGCTTCCCTGAGACTTTTGTTTCTCAACATAGTGAAAATCGTATATCGAGCAAATTTCCGTTCAAATAATAGATTATTAAGGCCGCCTGTAAAATAGGTACTTGTTTCAGCGTTGTCCTCTTTTTTTGATAGGAATCTTTTCAAGCCTAGTGATTTTTGCAGGTTTGGAAACAAGAAGTAGTTCGAGGGAGCTGACTTTGGAAAGCAGGCTGGATGAGTAGCTATTCGTAGGCAAATTTTCAAATTTTCATTTTTATGTCTCCATCCGCAGCCAGCAGTGGGTTTTTACAATGGAGATCAGCGCTTTTATCTTCTTCAAATACGATCTTTGGTACTGAGTAATATTGCTCGGCCACCGTTTTCCCCTTTTTAAAGTAACAATTGTGCATCATACCTCGTGCATGCTCAAAAAAACTATGGCCAAGCCTTTGTTGCTCAACATACCGAACTATGTTCACTTTGGTGCACTTAAAAATCAATGTAACACACTTGAATTGATTGTTCTTTGGTTTTTGGTGTGGCAGTTTGAATACGTTTTTTGTTTACGATAACGAAAGTACGCAAAATTTCATTCAGCTCAGATGGCTCAGCATCCACAAACACTCCTTTGAAGTTATCACACTGCTGCACACTTATAGTCGAGAGTATCCAGTAGCGGCACAACGCGCGCGGTTAGCTTTATCATGTACATAAATATATTCATGCAAAATGTGACTTAACCGCTTATTTGAGCCGCCCACAGTTTCAGCCATTTCATACACTTGCATGCAACACGTGTGTTCGCTCAAGTCCGACGGCATTTGTGCTACAGATCTGTAAACTTTGTCCCCATAATATTTATCACTCTTTTCTTTGGTTTTTGCACAGATCCTTAAAGATATTGCCCACAAATATCACTAAAAATATGCTTTTCCCAATTCTGTTGAAATTCGCGTATATTTGCGCTTTCGTTAGCTGTCAAACACAAACTAAACGGCAATTGATCAACAAATGACAGTTGACGTATGCAGCAGAGCATTCAAAGCCTTGGACAATTAGTATAAGTCACATACCTCCCAAACTGTTTGCGTAATATTTGATTGCCTTACCAATTTAAAACTGACAAAATTTTAAATCAGCAGAGCGAAGTAGCAGCTAGTGCGTTAGTGTAATATTTAATATTATTCTGATAAATAATAATAAATCAGCAGAAATGTATGTAAGTAGAAAAATCTGAAATCATTATCATATTACGAGTGTGGTGCATTTCAGTCTAGAGATATTTGACTGCAAGTAAGACCACTTTTCAGGCTTGCCATTTCTTAAAGCAGAATATTTCATTTGTTTTATTCATTGTCCACAATTCTCATATTATTTTTATTAGCCAAAACATATCTATAAGGGTCAAACAAGTACTTTTTTTTACACATTTCCTGCAAAAATTTTAGTGTTTGCTCGATTTTTATCTGCGTTCTATGTATGCTTTTTTATTTTATTTATTGACAAGTGCAACTTTTGCTTGTCAAATCTATAATATTTTTGCGATATTTTCATTGCCATCTTAAATTTTTTTTTTTGTTTCTCCACTCGCAACTTATCAATTTTTTATGTATTTTTTCTTTAACTTTCGTACGGCTTGCCATTTTCAACGACTTGAAGTTTTTCTGAAAACAAAGTTGTGCCAACAAATTTTTTATATTTATGCATTTATATATATAGATATGTATGTGGGTGTGTACTATCTAATCATTGTTGTTGTTGTTGTATATTTGTTATGAAAGCTACTTACTTTGTGGTGCATAGAAAATACATGGGAGCGTATGCAGTGTTGCAAGTAATTGCGTAAATAAAAGTACATAAGACTTGAAGTGGCAAGTAGCAAGTGGAAAGTGACAGCTGCACGTAAAACTACTTAAGATAGACAATGAATTGGACAGACAGGCAAACAGACAGAGAGATAAAATTATATATATAAATGTAAATATGTGTGTATGTATGTGTATACCAGCTGCTTGTGTAGAGACATAGCAGCGAGTTCAATAAAGGATAAGGATATTAGTTATTGGAAACTGGCATATAGTGACTGCATACATACATATGTATGTATGTGTAAAAATAATAGAGAAAGAAAGTAAAATGTTGCATATCGTATGACATGCAACAGGTTTGTTTATGACGCTCAGATAAAACATTGTTGAGGTAGAAATGGGAAAAATACATACATATGTATGTATATTTTTAGAAAATAAAAATCTACTAGTATGTTTACGAGCATACGCATGTGTACGTTTATGAATGGTGGATGTACTGTTATATGCAATATTGACAATGACATTGGCAACATGAAAGTTTTTGAATGAAAGATGGTGAATGTTTGTTTATGATTAGTGAGAGACAAGATACAAATAAAATTTATTCAACTCAACTTAACTTAATATTATAAAACTTAACATTAACATAACTTAACATTAACATAACGTATTACAAACCTAACATAACAAAACTTGACATAGCATAAAATAACTAAACATGACATGAACTTAACATAACATAACTCAACATGACGTGAACTTAACATAACATAACTCAGCATAACATGAGCTTAACATAATATAATTCATCATAACATGAACCCAACATAACATTACTTAGCTCAAAGTAACATAGTAATAACATAACATAACATAACTTAACATAACTTAACATAACTTATCATAACATAACATGAACCTTATATATATAACAAAGCTTGACATAGCATAACATAACTCAACATAACATGAACTTGACATAACATAACTCAACATGACATGAACTTAACATAACATAACTCAACATGATATGAGCTTAACATAACAAAACTCAACATAACATAAGCTTAACATAATATAATTCATCAAAACATGAACCCAACATAACATTACTTAGCTCAAAGTAACATAGTAATAACATAACATAACATAACTTAACATAACTTAACATAACATAACATGAACCTTATATATATAACAAAGCTTGACATAGCATAACATAACTCAACATATCATGAACTTAACATAACATAACTCAACATGACATGAACTTAACATAACATAACTCAACATGATATGAGCTTAACATAACATAACTCAACATAACATAACTCAACATAACATGAAGCTAACATAATATAATTCATCATAACATGAACCAAATATAACATTACATAGCTCAAAGTAACATAGCAATAACAGAACATAACATAACGTAACATAATATGACATACCATAACTTAGCATAACGCAAAATGCATACCAAAAATATATAATAAAAACATTTTTTTCCACTTAACATAACTTAGCCTTAACATAACGTAACGTAACATAAAATAACATAACCTCAAATGACATAATTTAACAAATTTAACATAATGCATATTTCAATTAACTCTGCACAGCATAGCAAAAAATGAAAGGGAAAATATAAAATAACTTCAGCTTATATTAACTTAACATAATAATCTAATATCTTCCATAACAAAACTTTAAGCGTTACATGACAGACCGTGACATAACATAACATAAAAACGTAAACGTATAAAAACATAACATTGGCATAAAACTCATTTCTGTTAAACATATATAAACGAAAGTTATACCAAAAATAATCTTGTAAATTTCAGACTTAAACATAATATTTGTAACATACATATATATAGTTACAGTTAAGTTATTTAATTATAAGCCAAAAATGCTTTACTAAAAAAATTTCTAATCTAATTGTCGTCCATCACAACTCTCCCCACAGGCACCACCCTCGCACAACGTAACAATTTCCGTACCGGCCCGGGACATCCAACATCACAGCGCCATCTGCCTAAGAGACCAACAGATCCGCCACCATCAGAGGAGGATTACGAGCCGACAGACCAATGTCCGGAAGCGAATGGTTTCTTCCCCGATTTGGAGCAGTGCGATAAATACTATTCGTGCTTGTAAGTAAATGAAGTAGTTGTAAAGTGTAACTAGTTGCATATAACACTGAAATGGTACCATTGAGGGATTATGGACTTTGAAAATCAATTTCCGACAGTCGAAACGGGCGGTGTAGAAGTTGACTATGCAAGCTAGAAACTTAAATCATAATCATTATCTACATATATAAGATTAACATAACCTCTAACTTGAAGTTGAAAATTCTCTCTCAAATGAAACATTAATTCAGAGACGGGAACTATTCGGGGGTACACCTGGGCGGTATTTAAAAAAAATATATTTATATAAAAAATATTTATATATTTTTTTTATTCACCTTCTAAGCACTTTAATCACAAAACTGTATCAAACACATTACTTACAGCTCATTTAACGTCACTAATACATACTAAGCACACAAACATACAGACAGACTGCATAATGCCTTTAGCACCTTTGCCACTGACAAATTAAGTGGCAACACTTAAGTACGTCCAACGGCGTCATGTAACGGCTCTACTCGACAACAATATTTATAATCAATATTTCATAAGCCAAAAAAAAAAGATAATTACCGTAATAAGAATAGTAATAAAATGAGAACGAAACGTTTTATGCGAACAGAGAAAAAAACGATTATTTTTATGCCTTACTTTCATTTTATTTATTCGTCTATGGGTATATGATTTATATATAATATGTGTATGTGTTATTAGTGCTTCTATAAAACCTTTATATGTGCTTGTATTTAATTAATTACAGTGAGGGTAAACCGACTGAACGCCTCTGTGCTGATGGCATGGTCTTCAACGATTACAGTGCTTCGGAGGAAAAATGCGATCTGCCATATAACATTGATTGCAGTAAGCGTTCGAAATTACGTGAGTATATATGTACATATGTGTGTTTGGTTTATATAATAGTTAAGTGTTTATAAATATACATATACAGAGGTATATAAAAAATTTATATTTAGAAGTTTTTTGTTGTACTTAAAAGGTGTGAAAAATACTATAAGCGATGGAGGGTTTGTAGAAAGTTAGTAGAGTAGCAGTAGTACTAACAAATAGGCATACATTGCCAGTGTTGATAAGACTTTCGAAATTGCCATTCGTCTGGCGATTTTATCTGACGTCAAAGACCGGAGCTGCAGCGATAGATAGATCCAATTTTTGATCGCCGGACGGTACAATGAGAGGACACAACCGATTAGGGTCTCACACACACAGAATTCGGCTGATAGTGTTAGTGTATTTCTTATGGAATAGTGAGAGAGGCTTCCAAAAATTCAAAATTTTACGCGCGTCAAGTACTGTTGTTGCTGTCTAACTGTCTTCAATGCAACCAGATTGCATTGCTTGAAAAGAAGGGACGGAAGTCTCTGTTCCAGCTAAACATGACCCCACGAGTATAACAATAGACGTTAAAAAACCGGAAGTAGCATAGTATTCTCTCTTAAGTTCTTCTGTCGTAGCGGCAGAGACATAAACGTGGATTAAGCGGAGGTTTGGGCACAACCCTTAGTACGGCCATTACATCGTTAACTCCGTAACTTTTATTTCGACTCTCTTGCTGAACGTTCTCGAAAATCTTGTGGATTTCAAAACACATATTAAATGCTCTGAACATCTCAGGAGGTGAGAGTCTGTTCACAGATCATCAACATCAATAACTAACTAACGCAGAAAGCTCTTGAGCCTCTTCCAAGCTTATTTTCAGACTTTATTCCATTGATGAAAGGCAAAACAGTAGCCTAACCTCAAAATAGTCGCACTAAAAATTTAAGGCAGCTGATTACGTGTGAGCAAAACACGTCAGAAGTTTTTTCTTGAAATGATTTTATTGATCTAGTTTTGGCTTGTTAATTCATATTTCATTTTAAAGCATAAAGTAGAGCTTTAAGTTCAAGAGAGTTTGCTCTTTTTAAATATATTTTCCAGAAGTCTAATAGAGCTTTGATTCTGAATTTAATGTAAAGGAAACAAGTTTATTCATTATAATGTATACATATATGAACATATATACATATAAAACATATATACATACACGTATGTATGTTTCAATATGGTCTACATATGTTTGTACCTCCCTCGGTGAGCTATTTTTACGTGTAAATATACGTGAGGAAACTCGTTAATGAACTTTAAATGGCGGCATCTGGTGTAGGAGTGGCATATACATACATGCATGTATGTACATGTTAGACCACTAAACAAACATGGTGAAATATACATATGTTTGTAACTAAATAAATTGATTTCCTGAATAGGTGTAAATATTAGCTCAGTGGTTTGGAAATCAGTCGCCGTTGGGTGTGAGAAAATTTTCTTCACACTTCAATGCGTGCTTTTGTTATTACATTTTCTATAATATATACATAAATAGTTACAGTTGTTGTATTGTATATAAACATTGATTTTGTGGGGAAAATGTGACAAGCATGAGAAATTATGGAATTTTTTGTCCTTAACTTTATAAATATGTATTAGAGTAAACACGCTCTATATATTAATTTATATACATATATATTATGAATGAAATGTTCTTTTGCTGCCCATTTCAATACGTTGATGTCCAATGAACTTTGACTTTTCAATATGCACGCGTCCATCGGTGATGCTTGCTGATTTTGGTTTTAAAACCTTTGATGTTTTGTTTGGCTAGCAAGCGTCAAGAGCTGAATATGCTAGAGAGTAGGTTGATATTTTATACACATGCAAGTGTATTATATTAATATGTATGTATATATACACATATAACTGATATGACAAAATATAATAGAAATTATTAAAGGAAAAAAATGCTGATTCACGCAGTTTATTAAAATGATACTCACACGAGCATAACCGCGCCATCTAGCTGTCAAATTAACAACTTTAACAACCAAACAAAAATGGCTTCGCTCATCAGCTGACAGCTGTCAACTCGTACAACGTTTTTCCTGTTTTCATCATGAGCAAAAACGATCAGTCGATTTTTTTATTTTATTTGTACAATTAAATCTAATATAAAAAATTTTTGTTATAAACCTTTTTACTAGTTATATTTTGTGAAGTTGCTTAAATAAATAATACGAGTAGAAAGGAAAACTGTTTAATCTATTGTGGACGTATTCATCAAAATTTAGCATTTCCCAGCTATAGATGATTATGCCATCGAAATCATTTACTCCTGCTAAATGTTCAAACTCGAATGCGTAGATTTCAAAAGTCATCTTATCTAATTTTAAAATTTGTATCATAACTAAAAATTTTGTATAAAAAAAAAATACAAAAAATATAATGAGTGGAATAATTGCAATATACACCCTTGTTCTTGTTGCCAAAAAATTGGTACAATAGATAGATAAAACAGCCATCTTTTGCGGCAAAGTGTTCATGAGCCAAACCATTCGCCGTAGATAGAAACAGAAGATAATCACCTGGTACGACGTCCGGATTATAAGGTGAATGCATAAAATCCACCCAACTAAGCTCTAATGAAGCACAATGCCCACCAGTTGATCGAAGCTGTGCAATTCCGAGCGATTACTTCCCTCGGACGGTTAAATTTTTGATATTATAAGTCCGCATTAAGAGTTTGGCCGCAGGGTAGTAGTTTATAGTAGACGCTTCATTGAAAATTCCACCTAAAACACTCATCAAAAACTCCCTGTCTGTCAATCTTGGCTTAAACACCGTTTGTGCCGACTCACCGTACTTCGATCAAGAACGTTTTTATATGGAGTTGCTGTAAGTGAACCAGTGGTCATTTCTAGTCAACATCTTTTTTAGAAATTGGTCGATTTGTTTACGATTAAATATACGGTCCATGTGGCGCCCATCCACATCTAGCTTCTTTGAGCAGCCAGCTCTTCTTAAGTGGCCTTACGGTGAGACGACGATTTTTATTATTTTATCGTCATTTTCGACAATTGGCTTTCGACATTATGGATAATCTTTTTCATTCAAATTCTTGGAACGAAATCGACGTAACTGTTACCAGTACCAGACCAATAAAAACTGGTATTTAATTGGTATAAAGCTGATGTATAAGCATACAGTTGACATTTTGTTGTAAAAAATACTTATTGGTGGAATGGAAAAATTATGGAAGATTAATTACCGTAGTCAGTATAAAAAATGCATACCAGCAGCATTCTAAGTAGTTCAGAACTATTACTTTTCCCTACTGGGGAGCTTTTTTGGTTTATCGAACTACTTTTTTTTTATTCTTATATGTATATTTTCAGTTTTCTGCCCACTTTCCTTCTCTGCTCTGAATTGATTAAAAATGCAAGTAACGCAGTCATAAAAAGCGTAAATTGTGGCATGCCACATAGATAAATGCCGAGTGAAAATACTTTGACACAATTTTATGGTACATTTGCTTCTTATTTATTATAATTTTATTTTATATAAAAATTTTTATTTTCTTCTTATCTTTTATTTGCTATCCAATTTTGTTTTATTTATTTTGCGTTTTTATTTTTTTTTTTTTTTATTTTTATTTTTTTGTTTTAATAGCAAATTTTTTTTATATATATATATTTTATATATACATATATGGATTATTTAACATGTTCAGCCGCTGGCTATTTTTAATCTCGAAAATTGCTATAAATGCATACTTACATACATAAATACTAAGTATCGCTCGGAGTGATGGAGTTGTCATGTTTAATCCAGTATAATTCTAAAAACTCACACACAAAACATTAAAAAAAAGAAACGAACATAAATGCAGATGTCATAATATAGAAAGAGATACCATTTAAATGCTCATCATTATTCTGTTAATGGCTAGAATTTTCCTCTGCCCTGAAGGTACTCACTTATCAGTAGCTCTAAACAGCCAATGAATTGAAACAACTAAGAGAGTAGCCAGGTTTACATGTTCGTGCTGGCAGCCTAGTGAATTTCATATGATAAATTATAAAAAAAGACAGAAAAGTCATTCAAATTGCATATGCAGATCGCAAAAACGCGTGTTGCTCTCAAAAAATCAAAAAAAAAAAAATAAATAAAAAAAATTAAAAAAAAAGTGTTGCATATTTCTGGGCGTGATTTCCCTTTCTACCTATTTTAAGCGACTTCAAAGTTCTTCCTATGAAGTTTTTGTTTGAAGAGACCCCTCGTAAAATTCTCTGATGCACAATTTTCTAGAACATTTTCAACCTCTAATGACCTTCCATGCATGGTTTTTAAACAAATTCATGAGCGCAGTGCGAAAACAGCGCTTTTGTTTCAATATTTTTACGAAATTGTTTCTTGGGAAATTTTAAAATAAAAGCACTCATCTTTTGGTTGTGGAATGGATGGCCAAAAAAAAAAAAAAAAAATAAATAATTCCAAATACCTAAGCTGGCGAGACGAGGCGGTGCAGCTTATTAGTCTGCTCAATCTAAGCATTGAGTATGTGAAAAAGAACCTTGCACTCTATTAGGCGCGAAATAAAAGAGCTCGAAAAGCACTTTCTATTGAGCTTTGCTTCCGTCGTGCAGATGTTCAGCTTCGCCCAGCCTCCAAAGACTTTAATCCATTTCCATGAAAAAAGCAAACAGAATGGGAAAAGCGTAAGCTCTCTTGGGACTCACTTCGAAGATGTACTAATCTTTGTGCTTTGCTATTAAGTCTAAAGGTTAACTGCTTTGTGGCGACCAAGAACTCAGCTCCTTAAGTGACACCATCGGCGACATATTTTTATCACTTATTTTTGTACTTCTTTACCAGAGTTCACTAACTCTAAAGGCTTAGAGCTCTCGGAGTTATGGGTATGACCAGCAATTCTTTTAAGATTTCAGCATGCACTGCTTTCCGCTTAGTTATACCTGGACCACAGATAATTTCGATGTTTTTGCGTTGTCAGTAAACCTTGAAAATCAGCCAACAATTTTTATTATTCCATAAAACATGCATTCGTGTATTTTAATGCACCATCGACTGCCCTCTTGGCTATGATGCAGAGGCATTTCGTCTCGTGTGCGTAGATAATTGATACAAACTGCTGCGCTGTGGGAAATTTTCGCGGTCATTTCAACGAATTAAATTCAATTACTACACACAGCGGTATGGCTAATGGCAGGAGGAGGATATGCATACACATATAATATATACTATATACATGTATATGTACATCCAATAGTGGTATGTATGTAGTAGTAACTTCACTGCCATTCAAATTGCAACACCAGCAGTAGCGCAGTGAAAGCCGCGCACCGTGAAAAATCGTGCTTAAGTGTGGGCAAGCAGAACCTTGCAAGGAAAAACGAAACTCACTTCAACTGGGGGAAAAATGGTCGGCTAACGATTTCTCAACTGATTGAGCTTGCAGCGAAATTTTCAAGAAATTTTTAAATTTCCTTCTTTATCTCAATCAATAAAAATATTTCCCTACGAAGATTTCTTTGCAAACAAAAAATTTATAAAAAAAAGAATGCATTGCAAGCCAATTTTCAACAGCTGCAATTTTCACTTAACACTTCTGCCTGAGCATGTCTTTGGTACTTACTTACTTACACTCGCACTTAACCTTTATTGAAGATTATCTTTTAATGCCTTCGATGTAAACTTAAACGGTGCTATTAAATGATATTGCCGCTACTAAAGCGCGCTACGAGTGGAAGGAGTGAAGAGTAAAGCGAACACAAATTTTTGCAAAGAAAAAAAATTTTTTTTGGGCCAACATTGATCTTTAAGGCCAGCTTACACCGACATATGTATCTCGTGAGTTTACGGTAAAGTTTTTTGCTTCTGTTTTCCATAAGCTTTTAAAGTGCTCGATTGAGCTTTCATGTGGTTGTAGCGCTGGCCAGTCATTATTTTAAAATTTACCGCCAATTGGCGATTTGAAGTGAAGGCCTAACTTGATATTTCTTATGGTGTAAAGATGTTACTCTTCCTCTGAAAAAACTCTCGAAACTGGAGTGTAAAAACTTACAAGCAACATGGTTTCACTCCTTGTAAAATTACGGTTATGTTGAACTGCTAGGTACCAGCTTAGTGAGACCACCAAACTACTATCAATGCATCCGCTACCCAGAGCAGTGTGTGGAGTTCGCCAGACAGCGTAATCAACGTATCACAACACAAGCTATTTTACTCTCTGGAAGTTGCCAGCCCAGGACGACCTCAACTTACTCGTCCAAATTGCGTGGCAATCGCAAAGATTCTGCAGAAGACGACCTATCATTGTAGATATTTCTTTTATCTTTAGCGCGATAAGCTCTTCTGACCTTCTTTTATGCCACTCCAAGGCCAAATTATCCTATAAACGAGTCTATATTTGGCTAGTATTTGATGTAAATAACTTTCGTATATTAAGCTTACAAGTGGAGAGCGGCGTACCCATATTCTTTCATTACAGTGAAAGTGCAAGCGAAGTGTTCTTCCTACCTAAACCTAAATCCGTGATAGTCAGATTGCCACTACGTCTCTCCAATGCCACAACACCACTTCAAAGGTGGCCATAAAATGCAGAGAGATCTTAAGAAAACTCTCAACTTTGAGAGAAACGTCCATGGCTTTTATTTCCCTGGTTATACGGACAACTCAGAGAACTGCCTGGCTGACGAACCTGCAAGAAAGGCAACAGTCTTAACCATAGTAAACACTGCGCATCGGCACAGTAGCTGCTAAGACTAGACTCTACCACAAGAGCAAAGAGCTAATGGCAGAACGTGCAATGGGATAAAGCAAATCTGGCCATTAATCGAGGTAAACAGAACTAAAACTCTACTCGTTCTAAAACCGACCTCCATAAACATAACAACCGGCGTAATAACCGAACACTGTATTATGGGCTCTCATGGTAGAGGAATGGTCTTCTTCTCAAGCGACTTTTGCCGCAGCTATAGTAGTAGAGATGAGGAGAAATCGGTGGAACATTGCCCTGTAACTATCCAGCTCTCAGTGCGGTTCGTTATCGTTTTTTCGGAAATTTCATCTTCGTTAGCCATGCAGAGGTTTGCAACGGTAGACAGCATCAACCTCGTGAATTTCCTAAAACAAAGCTAGGGGTTTGTGCATCTGGAAAGGCCAAAGAGGTGTCATTAACAGGACCATCATAGGTATCACAAGGGGCCAGTAAACCTAAGTGTGATTGATCAGCGTTTCGTGGTTCAGCAACCTATTAAATCGGAGACATGTCTGAGGTGACTAAAATCATATAGTTACTTCACCAATCGGTTCTTTATAATGCGATTTTTGTCCGTCCAAAGACTGTTACCCCCGCAATATTCCTCGTAACTAATTTGGGGAATATTTTTACGGTTACTCTAACAACAAAATTTCAGCACAACACTGCAGCCTACTAGAACAGCTGTAAGCAATGCCACTTAGGACACATCTATCTTCTATCAGTTCTGGATCGAAAGTTCGCAGCCAAAAATGGTCATGACATGACATCCTGAAAGTCTTTGATCCACGCGTTTGAGAGTAAAGATAGCGCTACTAAGAGAGATTAAAATAATCAAAGACACTTGGATGCTCACACCCAACACGGAAATAACCGAGCCATGTCCGCCGCATTTTGAATTTTACAAAACCAATCTTTGCCTTGAGAATCGCTACTACATTGTCTTAAGTTCCGTCCTAAGTTCAGCATGAATGTCTCACCAACTTCCTAGTTGCTTACAGACACCCAGAAGGAATCTATGCCGAAGGCTCATGACTATTTTGGGGGCAAAAAAACTAATTGGAGTCAACTGAAGTCGAGCGGTCTGACGTGATGGTTGCTACGTGTGCGGAATGGTAGCCGCGAACCCTAAAGTCATTAAGAGGCCTTTTCCATAACCAAGCTATACAGTCAGTCTGAAGGAAATTAGTCAACAATATCATTTGAGGCAGCCTAGATTTCATCAGATATGGATATATTCCTATCCAGCCAGCTTTTATCTGCTATATAGCCCAAGATCTTAAGTACAGCATGCAACACAACTCGGAAGATTCGAGTAAAGCTTATGACTATCCACTGCGATAATTTCCTTCTCCCGGCCCATTCGGACTATTAACAGGATTTTACAAAACGTAAGCTTAGTCTTAGCCTTAGTTTCGGGCAAATGCCCAAAAATCCTGTTTCCTCTCTGTTAGTTTGGAATAGTAGAATCACAGCGCGGAGATCTAAGTTTTCAGAGTCCTTCTTATCTCGCTGAGGGCGGGCCTCCAGTTTGCACCATACATAAATAAGTTATGAGAAGAGAAACTCGAATTTAATTCTATTAAATTTAGCTAAATTTTCTACTTCTTCACAACTCAGTATTAATTTTAGTACAATACTTCGGACGTATGGCCATGTGCACATACTCCAGTGAGTAGTTGAAGCCCAACGAGGTTTTATTATCCCAAATAATGCCAATCTGCGTCGGTATCTCCCACTTCGAGGGTGCATAGATGCCATTTAACTTGCTGTAGGTGAAAAGAAAAAGATTTGAAAGTAGACCAAAAATACTGTTATACGTCAAACCCACCTCTTCGCGCAACCCTCCTTCCACCAGCCGCCCACCTTCTCCTTGCCAATGCAATAACCCACACGATCTCTCGTACGAAACTTATAACCAATCAACGGCGTCAGCTCATCCTTCGCATTACCGCTAAATTTACCCAACATTTTCAACGCAAACTGATCACCCTCATCGCCCAACACGAAGTGATCATAATTAGCCACCTCCTCCTCGGTGGAACTATTCAACCGCATAACAATACGCAATTCTTGTGGTGCATCGCTGATCAACCAAAACAGCGACTCCATGCCGACAAAGTAACTGCTGTAGGGATCACCGAAACCGGCTTTGTAATCCACCCAGCGCAAATTGAAGTCGGTGTTTTTATCCTGACGTCTGTGCACAACGGTCCATGCACAACCGCCAGCCGTATCGGCTAGGCAGTAGACGTTTATGGGCGTATAGCCGGATATGTGTAGACTGTAGACATCATTGCGATCGAGCACACCCGGCGGCAATATATCGGCGCAGGTTTTGGGGAAACGTTGCATGAGGCGCGTGGTGAAGGAGTCGCTGAGCTGACGCACGCTGCGATAGTGAAAGATAATGATTTTTAAGTGCCTCAGAAACAGTTATCTGTCAGCTCACTTACGTCTTCTCCATTAAATCGCTCAACTGCTTCAGGGTTACCGGCGATTCATCAGCTTGTTGTAGTGCTCTGTAATGAGTTTTTTGTTTGTATTTATTTATTTTTTTAATTATAAATTAAACTCTCTACTGTTTTCCACTCTACTTTTATCGCCCGCCCTTTCTTTCTCTCTCTGTCTCCCGCTCTCACCTTGTGGTATGCGCCTCCGCTTTTTCACTTTTATTGCATTGTTTTAGCAAATTACGCATTGCCTCGTCCACAATGATCGTCATGTATTCCGCATCATTAAAACCATCTACCGTTATGATTCGTATTTGCATAAAAACCGTTATCAGTGCGACAAATACAAATTGCTTCCTGAATTGCAACATCTCGTGAGGTGTCTGAGTTAGCGACTGCACTTGAGCTTTGCCGGTTGATGCGTTTTGTGCGAAATTTCACTTTGGCTGAGATAAGCTTCGGCGCTTATCAGCTCCACATTCTATGTAAAATTTATTAAAAATATAAATCTGTTAAATGTTAGGGTTAGAATATTGCGGTGATATGGATTGTTGGCGATAAGGTGAGAACTGAATTGAATGCCGAGTGTGTGAGAGAGGGAGTAAAATGGAAAGAGTAAGAGGCTTTTAAGGCTGATTCGCATCAAACTTGCTACGCTTTGCCCTGACGGATGAGACTTCGGTAGTGTAGCGGAGCAAACCGAGGACATGGCACAATGAAGGACTTTAATTTTCGTACAAATATTTGATATTTTTTTCTACTTCACTGTCGTAGACACGCTTACGAAAGGTACAGCCAAGTCCTCGACCTACGGGTCTTCCCAACAGAGTTCCACAATGCAGTAAGTAAACTTTCAAAGCTGAAGCATTCCTGTTTATCCGGACCACGTGATCTAGCCGCTGTTGCTTGATTCACACAGCTCATCGTTTCGGTCTATTCATAAGTCGCCGTATCTTGTCAAGCTCAAGAAGGTTCCTCAAGCTTTTCATACTCACACATCTCGGCCTCTCTCTTTTTCGGCCGCAAATATAAAACATTTGAAAAAAAGGCTCTGTTTGGCATGAGATCTCATGAAGAGTGATAAGAAATCTTTCGTCGGCTTATGGTGCGAAAGCGTCGGTGCCTTAGGCTGAATTAAAGCTTGCTGGATAGCATGACTATCGGTTGGGGACGCTGTAGAAGGAGGTGCAGTACTTAAGACATTTCTTTTTATAGAAGTATTTTGAACAGGTTAGTGTCTCCGGTACCATAAACCGATCGCTTGATTTACGCAATCTCAAAAACTGTGTGATGGAGATTGGCTGTGTGTGGGACACGTAGCGCCGTCCTGCTGATATCAGTATCTTTAACATTTGGAAACAAATAATCTCTATGCATGCGACTGCAACGAACGAGTTTGATTTGAAGCTTCTTTCTCGTTTTCGTAGCAAAAATGAACCACTCACGACGCCGTTTCACATGAGATAGCAAACAGTCCCTCGCGCTGATATGCGGCATCACTGGTTTCTGGCATAGCTGCTGAGTTAAAAATGAGCTTCAGCCTTTGCCAAACGATATTCAGCCTATAGAGCGCAGCCTAATCGCCTCGTAGTGTCATAAGGCTTCGATTCTGCGCTTGAATGATCTTTATAAACCTTCTACCGAGGTCTTCTACACAAAGAAATGCCCGGAAAGGAGCGCGTTTGGCGAACTCGCTGCACAAATTGATACATAAGTTGCTTGAAAGCTGAGTTCCCTCCTCCAAATTTCGTGCGTAATTCTCCTGCAGTTGCGGTTGAAGAATTTAAAATTTTGAAAGTGGGCTCCCATTATTTTCCTAATTGCTTCTTGCCTAAACCTAACAATTTCGTTAACCGCAAACCTTCTGCTGAGTATTTGACACTCCAAAAATGTGATTGAAGTTGTTAAAGCTCAGAGGAGCTGTAATGCAAAAAGCAAACGATAGGTGCCGCATACATTTAGGGATGCTCAGATGAGCTCTGAGGCAAAAAGCAAACGATAGGTGCCGCATACATTTAGGGAAGGCTTCAAAGGTTAATATGGAAAAAGGTTGAAAAATGAAAAAAAAAAATCTATGAAAGCGGAAATAAATAAATGAAGCTTTCATGTGCTTTGGCACATAATTTCAATATTAAATCTCTTAATTTTTGTTTAGGCAAAACTAAATTTTTATTGAAAGCATTTCAACATTTTTCTAAAACTTTTTCTCTTAATTTTTTAATTTATTTTAATTTTTATTTTTTTTATTTATTTTTTTTTCAAAAAAATTAAAACAATTAACATTTTAAAGTCTAAAAAATATATCAATAAAAGAATTTATGAAAACAAAAATAAAATACAAAAATTCAAAACAAAAAAAAAAATTTTATATAAATTAAAACAACAATTTAACTATGAAAATATTGAATTTATTCAATTACGCAAAATGCATAGTTTCATAGCAAAGAAAAATTTATTAAATTTATGCCATAAAATTTAAATGTTCTTAAGAAAGGCCAAAAATTGCTGAAATTCAAACTGAGGCAATTTTATATGTGTACATACATACATACAAACAGAGACATTTGCTTGCCTGAAAAGTGGCAATGAAGAGTTGTTGCTGCACAATTACATATAGCAATCTCTATATGTATGTATGTATGTAAGTAGTTTTATAAGTTGCAGCTAGATGAGCAATGACAGCATGTAAGTGGCTAAAAATAGCAACAACAATAAACACACACATACGAAACTTTAATATAAACAAATAGACAAAGAAATCTTCAAATATTTACATATTTGCAGAAAACTTTATTAACAAACAAATGCAGTTACATGCTTATGTACGTGTATGTACATGTACTTGTCTATTTACATTACATATTTGTTAATATGCTTGTATAATATGTATGCGTGTGTGTGTGTGTGTGCAGTTTAAGCTGCAACTTGGCCAGCTGTGTGGTCAACTGCAGGTTGTAAGAGAGTTGACAGCACAGCACAGGCAGTAAGAGGTTTTTGAACACACACAAGCAATAATAGCTTTTAATATACATATATACATTTATATTATATATATATATATAAATATATATATATTTAGTTGAAAATGCTCGTTCTAACGAAAATCTGCAACAAAAGCGAGATTTAAGTATATATATACATGTATATATATATATATATATTGCATAGAAATACTTATAAATATGTATACCTGCATGTATGTATGTATGTATGCCTGCCTTTAGGCGCTTATACAACAAATTTCTCTCTACAAAATTGGATACAAAGAAACTAGGTTAAATTAAATCTTTGTTTGTGGTTATCTATTCAGCAGCAAAAGTTTGAATGTCACTTGTTTTCTATTGAATATTGATATTTGATCTAACAATTGATTATTTATAACTCAATTTTATAGCATACGATGTTTTTATAAAAACGAAAAAAAAAATGTCATGAAAAATTATGCAATTTTCGTCTAAAAATCAGTTAAGCTCACTTTGGCAGGGAATAAATTGCAAAAATATTAGTTTAATTTAATAAAGGAAAATGTCTTAAATTTGCAATTTTTTTTACGCTGATAAATAAAAGTTTTCATTAAAAGCTAGTAAGGAAAACAACGCACTTAGAGCCCCTGAGACACTTTGTACAATAATAACGCTGTAAGCTTCCAATTACCTTCTCAAAACCTAATGTCGGATGAAGTAAGCTCAGCGAGACAATCAAGCGAGTGTTACCCAAGGCACTAGTAACGCTTGGTGGTTATGGCGATAAAACGACAGTTAGTTATCGATATAATCTTCCCTGTAGCTCCAGTTGCTTTAAAAATCACTTCATTCTCTTGCCATGAAGCCCGAGAGCGAATGATTTGCAGTTCTAATAATCTAATTTTGGCACTACAATATTTTAGACAGCCATTTTGAGTACCATCATTTGATGCGAGTAGTTTCTCTCTGAAAGAGAGAGAGAGGCTCCGGTGAACGAGCTCTCAACCTTTGGCAACCTCATACATTAATGCATTTTGTATGTCAGTGAACTGCTCCAGCGTATGGTACGCCTCATGAAAGCCATTAGCAGAAACGCTCGCTCTCTTTCTCTCCCACACTGTTCTCATGGCTCCAGCACAGCTTTAGTCTTATACTCGACGATTTTTCTGTAGCTATGAAGGCTGATTACGTCGCTTGCTTACTAACAAAGGTTAGCTGGTTGGTTGGTATTGGATTTCTCGTACATTAGACCGCTTTGTGACTGGTTTGGGTAGTTTCTATTCTCATTCTGTTCAAATTAAAATTAAAAAAAAATATATAAATTTTACCATAACCGCTTCGCTTAAAACCTTTTGCTTGCGGAGTCCGTACCTTGCACCAGTTTGCTGTAGTTCCGGAACTTTCAATCTCCGCTGTCATCTATGCTTTCTTTTATGTCTGTTATTCACGAATTCATGTGCGCTCTGTGCTCTTCGTTGGGCTGGCTGATTTTGGTAGGCGAGATTTGCTTGCTTTCGGTCCGTTGCTTTCTGCGTGTTTTAGCGTAGTGCTATTCTTTTCGGACCTGTTTTCTCTATACTGTTGATGCGGGCTCTTATATACCTCAGTCCAGTTTAGATTGTCATGCTGCTCGTTTCTTTTTGATTTGTTTTCTAGCAGAGGTTTAAGATTCTCAACGCGTCGCGATGCGAACTACTTGCTCAATCACTTCTTCAGACGTTCTTCTATTTTAGAAACTACGGCCAGCCTTTCACAGGTTTTCTTGCTCTCGTAGTCTTAATTGAAATCAACAGTGGCTTGAAAAGGATTCCTGTGGAAAAGAGATTGTCAAAGCTGAAGTTGGCGCTGGTGTAGTCCAGGTTTTGAGAAATTGAAAGTTAAACGGCATTCATATTAATTGGGTATCAGCTCAAGAACCAGGCAATTTTGGAGAGCTTTCAGGTGTTTTGAGGTATGGTAAAGTTCGCTGAACTTTCTCTAGTTTTCTCCTGAAAATAGTTTCTTACGAAAGCCAGTCAATATACGGCGACGTCGCAGAATATGTTGGTTCGGCAGCAGTGCTATTTTCATATTGGAAATTGGGAAAGCAAGGATCATGTGCTTGTTCTTGCCGAAATATTTGAGAGAGGGAGTTAGGAACAATAATCAAGACTTACGTATCCGCAAACCATTCGAAGCGAAGCTAGCAGGCTGCATTATGACAGCGCAGTATGAAATATTTGTAGTTACAGCGCGTGGAAGTGTCAAGACAATGAATCTAAAATGTAATACCGATTTCATAGACCTTTGGTGCGACAGTAGAAACCTCATTGTGTGGCACGAGCAAAAAAAAAATAATTAGGCAGAAAGAGACGTTAAGATCCTTAGAGCGTGCGAAGCTATTGATAGCATAGATAATTTCGTTAATACCTAAAATAAAACCAAGTTGGTCTGTTGTAGCCTACATTGATGGTTGCACTCCCCTCTGCTGTTGCTTGATGCCCATTGGTTTATAGTGACTTTTGGAGAGGATCTAAGTTAAACTGTTTCTTTGCAACTTTCTATCGTTGAGCTGTAGGTCTTATAGCCTTCAGTGATGTCTTTCCTCAACAGAACTTTTTGGCTTTCAAGATCGCTGTTCCACACCGGAGCTGATCTGCTTTCTCTTAAGAGCAGTCGAAGGTGCAGATAGCCTGAAAAAAAGGTAGTTAAATCCGTTTCAACGATACCCACAACCTCAACTCTTCTTTGCAAAATTTCCATAGTTTTTCCAACGCTTTGGCGCTTTTCTTATTTATTTACAACTTTTGCTCGATTAACACACATTTTACAACATTTTTATTGCCATCGCAGTGACTTCGCTCCATCTACAGCTGCAGACTGTGCTCTAAAAGAGCTTCGGCTCCATGCTTAGCTATGCGCTGTTACAATCTACTTATTTTCTACATTTTTTTTTTTTGCTGCAATATTTATTTTTATTAGCGTCGAGTTATTGTCATGCATCGGCAGTGATGCAGCTGGAATTTTATTATTTTTGTTTTTGTATTGTGATCTCAGATTTTTTTTTACATCTATTTGTATTTATACTCTTGTTATTAAATTGGTTTTAAATTTTATTTTATTTTTAATTTCTTAAAATTTTTAGTATTATTTTTTAATTTTGTATTTTTGTATTTATATATTTTCTATTTTAACTTTTAGATTATTTATTTTTTACTTTTATTTTGTATAATTATTTTTTTTTTGATATTTTTATTTTTGTCTTTTTTTATTTTTTATTTTTTTTACTTTTTTTATTTTGGCTTTTAATTTATTTATACTCGTATATTCTTTATTGGTCTTGATTTTATTTTCTTTTATTTTTTATTCTTTTTAATTTCTTGATTTTGCCTCTTTTAAGTATTTGTTTTTTTTCTTTCTTTTATATATGTACTTTATATTTTTATTTCTTTTAATTTTTATTTTTTATTTACTTTTAATTTTTATATTTTTTACTTATTAATCTTGTTTCTGTTCTATTTCTTTTACTTTCTTCTTCTTTTATTATTATTTTTTTTTTTTAAATTTTGTTTCTCTAAAGAGCCTGATTTTTTACTTTTATTTTTATATTTTTATTTTTGTCTTTTTTATATTTTATTTTGTTTATTTTTATTTTTTATTTTTGGCTTTTAATTTATATATTTTCTATTTTAACTTTTAGATTATATATTTTTTCTTTATCGGTCTTGCTTCTATTGAGAGTTGGATTTTTTTTTTACTTTCATTTTCTTTCAATTTTTATTTTTTTAAGTCTGTTTTGCTTGAAATTTTATTTTTATTCGCATATTTTATTTTTTTAGTTTATTATTTATTTTGTGCTCAGTGAGAGTTCGATTTCTTTTATTTTCTATTTTTTTATTATTTTTTTTTTTTTGGTTTTGGTTCTCATTGAGTGTTAGACTCTCTTTTTTTGTTGTTCTTAATTTTTATTTATTCATTAATTTTTTATTTTATTTCTTATTATTTTCTTCTGTTTCTCTAGAGAGTTGGGGTTTACCCTTATTTTTTATTTATTTTTTGTTTTTTTTTGGTTATCAACATTTTACTTCCCTCCCTTGCCTTTTCTTCCTTGCTCTTAAGATTTTAGTGTTTACTCGCTTCATTCAATTACAACAAACGCAGCAGTTGCCTGGTCATTCACTTGCAATGTGTGTTATGTAAATGAGCGCTGTCCTTGTGTATATGTATATACATACACGTATGTGTATAGGACAATTTGCTGGCTCACAGAAAATGCATATGCGCCCATAAATATGCCACACTTTGTTGAGTTCAACGTTATATTGTGTGATTTTATTTTTATTTTCACGGATTACATCTTTGATGCGTAAACTTTTTAGAAACTCGACCAGGCAAGTTGTTTTTGTTGTTGTTGTTTTGTTATTTTATGTCAGTATGTCAGTTGTGGTGTTATTAATGCTTATCTCTCTCGGTTTTTTTGTTGTAGTAACAAATTTGTTATAAACTAACAACAACAACAACAACAATATTAATAGTAAATCCAGCAACAACAACGTTGCATTGCAGCGCAGTCACCCTTGCTTGGCTTTATGACTGTTTTATTTTTCTTGCGTAAAAAAAAAGAGAATTTGCTGTCATCCAAACCTTTTCTATTGGTCCAGTGCAGCTCATGAGGGTTACATGAGGGCTCGTTGCTTCTGACACTTTTTGCCGCAGCAATCGTTGCTCGTTTTTAGCACTTTTTAAGCGTCTCAGCGTTTTTGTTCTCTCTTGTTTAAGCAATTTGACGGGCTCTATTTTACAAATTGAGCGAAGGAGAGCACATAAACTTTGTTCAAAGATTTCTGAGAGTAAAGAACTCACTATAGGCAAAGGGTATCTTCTAAGAATCCCCGTTGAGCAGCACATTTTTTAACCCCTCCACAAAATTTGTCATCAGTTAATGTGCTCCCCCCTTGATTTCTAACTGAGAACAGCAAATGTTAGCTGAGCTCATCATTTTGGGACTTTTAGGATTCCTGCGCGCGTACATTCGAATTGTTAAAATGAGACCAAAGACTCAAATTGCCTCAGCTTCCTTGCCTGGACTTTTTTGAGACTTTGTAAGCTGGAAAGAGCATTTCCTGGGATTTAGATTTGCATACAAGATCAGTGGAATAAGAAGATAAGAATATGTATGGTGTGCCCTATTAACTGTTTTGTGTTTTTCTCTTCAACTTTCCACAGAACCACCACAACCCTCTCAGCACTGCCCACGCAAAAACGGCTACTTCGGACACGAGGCAAAGGGCATTTGCGATAAATTCTACTACTGTGTCGATGGCCAATTCAATATGATCACCTGCCCGGTGGGTTTGGTCTTCAACCCCAAGACCGGCATTTGCACATGGCCCGATGAGGTTGGCGTGAAGGGTTGCAATTCACAAGACATCTTCGAATTCGAATGCCCTAAAGTGAATGAGTCCGTAGCGGTCACACATCCACGTTATGCCGATCCCGATGACTGTCAATACTTCTATGTCTGTGTGAATGGTGAGATACCACGACGCAATGGCTGCAAGCTGGGTCAAGTGTTTGATGATGATAAGAAGCATTGCGACTGGTCACGTAATGTGCCTGAATGGTGGGTGCCCAGGAGTTTTAATGCATATATATTTTTTAATTTTAATTCTCTCTCTCTCTCTCTCTCTCTGTTTCTGCTCTGCAGCGCTGATTGGTACAAGGATCGTTTGACTGATGCCGAATTGGATGAGTTGGAGAATCCCAAACCGAAAACTAAGAAACCCCTACGCACACGCGGTCCATCACGACGAAAACCCGCCAAGGCGGCGGCGTCTCAAGTTGAGGAGGATATCGACGAGGAGTAGTGTGGGCAGAGCGGCAGACGTGCGTCCGCTACGCACATAGCTTTAAGTACTTTTTGTTTATTTTTCTCTTTTTTCTGTGTTTTTGCCTTGCTATTGTTCGTCGAAATTCTCAAATAAAAGCGCCTCAGCGTAATTCTATAAAAAAAAAAAAATGTGGGCGATCGGTGTGAATTTCTGTAAAGTCCCAACAATTGGATATTGATTGCTTCAGTTCAATAAAAAGCCCATTCCGCCTGTAATTATTACGCAACATTTATGACAAATTTCAATATTTCTTTATATCATCCAATTACTTCTCGTCACCCACAGCATATTTTTAGGCGATTTTGATGGCAATTTTACTTTCAGTCGTAAATTTCTGCTGTTTTTATGTTGCTGAAATATTTTTTTTCCAATTTTCTTTTTTGCGTTATTCACCTCTGTATCGTTATCTTTCTAATTTGATGAAACGATTACTTTTTGGTCTCATTTAATGGTAATACAAATTATTAAATATTGAGGTGAAGTACGGTGGAAGAGAATATTCTTCGCCTTCTATGTCAACGTCAATCGAAGAGCTCTAGTGAGTGCCAGGTACATATGCGACAAGTCTTTCTTTGATGACATTCGATGTTTCGCCTTGCTCAAGCTGGTGACTTATTGTCTAGTCCTCTTATTTTCTTGTCCAATCTTGAGAGATATCTAGCGACCATGTAAAAGCCGAAGTCTTCGGGTACTTTCATTTCATTCTGCAACCCTCGCATTAGGTTGAAGAAGCTATACGGTAGAGATTGACTTTTTTTTGGAACATTGCCTACTACCGGGAGGCTTGAAAAGGCCCTACGGGTTTTTAAATGGGCTGTTGGTATTATTTGCGTTATCTTAAAAAGCCGTATAAGGTTTCCTTGCACAAAGTATGCTCTGGACATTGGTCCCAAAACCTTTTATTAGTCGCCGTATTTCTTCATAGAATTTTCGAGCGTTGTTCTGCGAGACTTCGTCTGTAAATGCGTCCTTCCTCTCTCTTCAGCTTTTGATAAGTTGTGGTCGATTGTAAGGTTACAAGGTGGGCAGTCCCCTTTTTATCCACTGCGTGAAACCCATTGCTTCTGTAGCGGCGGTACGTAAGGAGTTTGAGATGCCATTTCGCAGTTCCCTTATATCGAGCTGCTGATGTTTTGTCTCAGAAAGTAGGTGTGGTAGGAGTTGAGTAAAAACTCGTTCGACTGTCTGTTGGGATGCAGGTTTTCGACGGCGAGCCTTCCTTGTGTTTTTTGACGTGCGCTCTTTGATACATAAAGACGGATGCTAATCTTCGCTGAGACAAGATAATTGGTTCTCGGTACGTATGCATATCTAAGACACTGTGGGCATGTCTTCCGCCTGTCGATTTTCGTGCCGGTAATATCCATGATTTCATGGATTTCTCAACATTACCTATGTATAAGTGCTCAGCGAGGCCTATTAGCCTCAGTTCGTTCACGTAAGTTTCATCTAGAAGGCTGAGTTTTCGCGCTGTTGTACCAAAGATAGCATCTTTGCCACTCCTGGCGTTAGAACCGCCATGCACAGCTGTGCCATCTTGGCATGCCAGCCTTCACATAAGCGTACCTGACGCTAATAGAAGTTAACTTTGATCATATCGTCTTCCTTTTCCATCGGAGTAAGGGCGATAGAGCCTCTCTCCCACCACAAATCGAACACTGAGTTTGCGCTCCTTTCCATGACCACTGTAATGAATGCCTTAAGGACCTATCCGTTCACCGTTTCACTTGGATACTGATTTAAGTCCAAATCTTAACGAGGACATCAACTAGTTGGTCAGAAGCACCGTTCCAATTAATGGGTCCGAAGCGTTTTTTTTTAATGAGGAGTTTTATTTGATGACAGAAATACACTCGAAGTGCTTGACAAACCCTGCCGCAGGACCACTTGGCATTGCACCGACCGTTGGTCCGGTCATTTCAGATACTTCATGCTGAAAACGTAGTCTTTTGAACATTTGTCACGGTCGTCATCAAAAATGAAAGTTTGTGGCGGGTCGTAAACTCAGCGCACCTGCCCCACGCGTTGAGTATATTAACTATCAAAGATTTATATAGCGAGCCGCTTTCTTCAAGACTGATAGCCGGTCGCAGCCACAACTCTGGTAGACAGTTGCTGGAATGGGAGAACATTTAAAACGAATATGGTTCTCTTTGAGCCGGGACCCATCGTTCGACACTAGTTGGTTTCGTTCCGTGCTCCCATTCCGAGCAAAGAAATCCTCCATTTGGTAGTAAGAATACACTTTTCGATCCACCCCCGAACGCACTTGTGTAGAGTTTTGTAACGAAAAACTCATGGAACTCAGAAACTTCAAACACATTCTTACATGAGCTGACACATTTAATGAAAATTTTCTTGTAAAAAGAATGTCGATTTTGTCTTTGTCTGTAATAAAAATTAAAAAGTAAAAATTTATTGTTGTAATAAAAAAAAATTATTAAAAATGTACGATCAGTGTATGGGCGATGGCTACAACAACAACCAGTATTATGGCGGCCAATGCGGTGGTTACGGGCAATGGCCATCTGACGGTAACTATCCTACGCCCTGGTACAATCAGTGCGGCTGGAGCAACTGGCATTGGTATAACGGTTATAATAATTATGATGCCTCCTACCCGACGCCCTGCCAACATTATTATGCTCAAACTTATGGCGGCATGCAGGCGCCAGCAATGAATCAACCGAACGACGATGAGTACAAATTATATCAGCGGCACTTGAGCGGACACTATATGAAACCAAAAGCAGCCAGCATGACTGCGGAGCCGCCGCTGTGGAAGACAGTTAAGATAGACTGCTTTTCCGCCAAGATGGATGTGCACAAAACGCAATCTGAGCTGATTGACAAGCCGACGCTGAATAAAACGAGCGCCGGACGTAAAACGAAGAAGCGCAAGCTGGGTGTTACACGCAGCTCGACAACACTGAAGAATGCCTGCAGCAAGCTCGGTAGGAAAGTACACCTCAACGGTGGCGGTTTGGCCTACATACTCTTCAAGCCCAAGCACGGTGAATGTGAGCGTGCTGAACCACCGGATCGTGGTGATGCGCAACAGCAAGTACCATTCACCTACTATCCCTCGAAGAAGCAACATGATCTGGAGAAAGAGTTCCTTGAGGAAATCAATCGCAGGCTTAGCGAATCACAAACGCAACCGTCGCACAGCTCAAGACATAAACAGTTCATAGATAATCTCAACAAATTATACTCAGACATTGGCGGCGGCTTGGGTACGGGTGAAAAGCGCTCAGTCTCACAGTGCACGCCGGAAGAACTCGATGAAATTCGGCACGAATTCGAGGTGTTCTTCAATCAAACCAGCCGCAGCAGCAAGCAAACGCAAACAAAACTAAAAATGAAATCACTCAAATCAAATAAAAGCAAGAGTAGAACAAAATGGACCATGAGCGCGGATCTCACGAGACATCTGCGCAAGTCGTCGACAGATGGCACAGATAAAAGCACGAAGAAGCGTAAACTAAAAGTGTCGGCTACTGGCAGAGGTGCGCCGAGCTCCGAAGAGCAGCAGCCAAATGGTAAGGAGCGGAAAACGAGTAAACTCTATCAGTTAGGCGGCGAAAATGGCAAGCGTATGAGCAGCACCAGACTGTGGCGTACCTCCATGCAGAAGGAGCGAGCGCCCAGCACAACGCCGAAAAGTGTATACGTTTCATTTAAAGCCGATGGGCTAGACGACTCGCGCGGGGGTCGGAAACCGAGTGTTGAGAAACCTGCAACGTCAGCGCATTTGGAAGCTAAAAATCAAAGTCAGAGCACGAAGCCGCCATGGAAACCGCCAACGCCATTCATGAGGTCCACTTATGCTAATTTTAATTACGTATCAGCGTGGGGGCGAAAAAAAGCGGACTCTTAAGAAATGTCTTTTTTTTTGGTGCAAATATTTTAAAAATCTTTTTTGTGGAAATTTTTTTTGTAATTTTTTTTTTGGTGAAAAATGTTTTTTTTGAAAATTTTCAAACTTTTTTTATGATTTTAAGAGCTCACAGTAATTATTGAAATTCATCGATTGTATACCGAATTCAATAATTTTTTTGGGTTCTTTAAACCATATTTTAGTTTGGTTAAATCCGTTTAAAGAAATTTTTGGTAATTGGAAAATTTGTTAGTGTTTTTTTGTAAGTTTTTTTTTTTTGCAATTTTAAGTGTTGAGAATGAGGTTTTAAATAAAAGTGATATGAGTTTTTTAATTTTCAAATAATTTTTACTTTGCTTTGAGCTTTCGAGAAAAAGCTCATAAAGTTCCGGAATTGAAACATGAGCTTTTTGTCTTGAGCTTTTGCCACTCAATTTTAAGCTCTCAGCAACTCTTCAGCTGGAGAATATCGTTAAATATTTCACAGTGTAAGAGAAATCCTCTTCTGTCTGCACTGCATGGCAGTCTATCGAAGAGAGTTGTGTTTGTTTTTGCAAAGAGAGAACTTGGAAATTTCGAGTAACCCTGAACGTAAGCTGAATCTTTTCGAACATAAACTAGTGAGCTTCTTCAAAGACTGTTTTGAAAGAGTTTCAACCTTCCATTGTATTTCCTTCCAAGAAGATTTTAAGAACAATTTTCAACTAACTCGGAATTAAATTGAAAACTTTTTTAGGTTAAGCCAGTTTTTGGGCGGTGAGGATGTGCAGGATTATTTAATGCCAGAGATGGTTTGACGTTTGCCTGCATTTATCTGAAAAAGTAAAACACTGGGGAATAATAGCGGATAGGAGGATGCACCAGAAGGCACGTAACCTCGTTAGAAGGAAAGCAAGAAAGAATTTCAGATTTATATTACTGCAGTCATCAACGCCAAACTTCAACCCGACTTTTCTGAATTTACAAAACAATAGATAAACCTGACATATTTTACGGTATTTTCATATGGAGAAGTCGCTAGAGAGCGTTAAATTAGCTAAGCAGCTGTGAGGAGAGCAACTCGCTGCTCTGATCAACATCTACGATACCTTACGAATCACGTTAACCGTTTGAAGTCATATCTACTACAGTCTGGAAGTATTCAAAAGACTTCGGCTAGGTCGATTGTTGCACAACACACGGTTAGACTTAGGAAGACTGAACACCAGGTCGGCTCAAGTATGAGAAACTCCGCTGAGTGACATAACTCCATTCGCAGGAAGAAGTGGAGAGCATAAATTTAGTGGAGATAAAGAGCACCAAGCGTATTCACGTATTCGATGCCATTTGTAAGCAGGTCGTAGGAATGACAGTCAGAAGAAGAAAGCGATGAACACATTCTTTCTGCGACTGACTTCAGTGAGGCATGCCGAAATGTCCAAACTACACCACGATGGCGAAAATAGAAGGAGAGTGGTATTCCTTGCAATATCGTTCGGCCACTCGTTACCCTGTGTCCTTCTATCCATTATACGTTCGCAGAGAGCCGCTTTACTATCACGCTAAATGAACTGCGGCAGTTCTCTATCGTCTCTGGTTTAATTGTAATAGATTCCAGCGCTCTTATTGCTGCCTGGCTATCGGAGAAAATATGGATACATTTCACAGAGAGTAAAATTTAACTTAAGCAGTTGTAGGCCTTCCGTATGGCTATCAGTGCCGCTTGACTACACAACAGTGATTTGACAATCGCAAGATTTGCAGACTCCAAGTACCTTGGGGTAGACTACCCACCCTTTTTCCAGTTTTTACCCATCTGTATACAAGTGGATCGAGTCTGCATATTTTTCATTGGTCTCATGAAGACAGTGCGTCCTGTCTGGTAAGCGAAACCTTCTTGATACGTTTAGTATGATCATTGTTTATCAACCTACATTCAAACACTTTCTGTGGACTTGCCGCAGCACAAGAAGCATTCACATTATGTCTATGGAGAGTAGATTCAAGTGGACATTCATAGCCTCAGCAAGGGTGGTTCGTGGGTGAGAGCTAACCTCAGCACTCTTTGGAGTTTTCAAGTAGTTGATTTCTGACCACCAGACTACTACTCTCTACCTTTCTGCTCACACATATAGAGAGCATCCGTTTATCTGAGTTTTGTGACCAGCTTAAGAGCTCAGAGCTCAGAGCTCTAGAGTTAGCCAGTGTGTGCTAGTCAAGGTCAAGTTCAGGCTAAATTGATGATTTCGTAATAATTTTATGATTGATTTGAGAACAGAACAAAATGGAGGCAATGGGACTAGCTCAGATATGTTTTGCTTTGATGATTCTAGGTTAGGTCGCAGGCAAGTTCGAGACCGAAACTATTACAAAGTAAACAGGAAACTAATTTCTGACCAAATTGGAACATTTCGAAACCTTTTCTTTGGTACATTCTGTGATATACGTTGGAGCCAAATACGACTCTGCCTCGAAGATATATTCAAATACGAATCATTTTTAAATTGATTTGAAAACATTTTAGGAATCAAGATAGAACCACTTCGGGTATCTTTCGGACCAGTCCGAGATGCATATGAAACCGTTACTTTTTATTAAGTTTTGTAAAGAAAACTTTTTAAATCTGCCTTGACTGTTAATTATGACATTTCATATACATATATACATACATATATACATACACATATATACATACATATACATTTATGTATATTTTATATTATTTTCGGAAATGGCATATTTTGAAATAAACCAAAAAAAAAATACTTATTCGGGCTTAGAAAGCATCAAAATTCGCTTTCCGGCAAAAAAGCTTGAATGAAAAAAATTGCAAACTTTCGACCGCAACAAAGCAAAATTTCAACTTTGGAAACACCAAATTATTCGGCCTAAAATAATAAAAATACAAAAATGCAAAAACATTGCCTGAACGTCTGCGCACCCGCCTGCCGCAGCTCCCACTGGATGTGCAATAATTGTTGTTGCAGCACACCAATGCTGCCGCGGAACTGCGCCAGCTGCATTTGGCCACGTTCATGCAACAACAATAAGCGCCGCGATGAATGGCTGTGGCACTCGCGTTGCTTAACCGATCATTATATGAAGCGTTCAAAAGAACAGTTTGATACACCGCTTTGGCGACGTGCAAAGCATCAACGCTCCAATGCCATTTCCATGTTGAATCTGCGCAACACAATGTCAACGCTGCCACCGCCGCCGCAGAAGAAAAGAGGGCGGAGAAGAAGGCGTCGGAGTATTGAAAGAGCTGCAGAAATCATAATTGACAAACCGTTCGCCTGTAGGGGCGGTTATCTACGCGGACTGGCCAACATGCCGAGCTGCCGTTGTGAGCGCATGGGACACCTGCTGCTGCAGCCGAAATTCTTTAACAAATGCAAATGCGAGCCGTATGAGTGGATGCCGGATGTGCCGCTTACCTACTATCCGAAATTTCCATGCCTCGATCCCTTCGGCAACGCGTGTGACGATGAGTTCGCAGCATATTTGCTCAAATACCTAAACGGTGTGGGCAGCTACGAAGCGCGTGTGAAAAAACTTGTAAATAAAAGATTTCTTGAGAGTTTAAATAAACTCTATGCCAATGTGGGCGGCGGTCGGAATGGTTTTGTTGGTGCCAACAGTTACAATTACGATTCAGTTGAGAGAGAATATGAATTTGAAGGTTTCTTCGGCACCTTTAACCAGTCTAAAGAGAGTGTAAAACGAAAAACTGCTTCAGCTGCCTTTAGTCCCAGGCGTAATTCATCGTTCATATCTTCATTTGAAGAAGACGAAGAAAAGAATTATTCTAAACGGTATCACTATCCCACGTCGGTGCCACTGGAAAAGCAGCCCTACTTCAGAACTAGTCCGAGTCAGATTTTAAAGTATTTGGCGGGTGCTTACTTTAGTTGAAGTTCATATGTATACGTATATTTGTATAGTTATTATTTTAGATATATATTACAAAAATAGTGGTGCGTACAAGGTTGGTCAAGGAATAAGTGGCCTCCTAATATAAGATTTGATTTTTCTTAAATTTAAATAGGTGGCAACTCTACCCAAAAATGTTTGCAGCGGCAGCTCTTTCAGATTGGCTTTCGCTATGTAAGAAAATATTTAATTTATGTTATTAATTAATTTAATTAAATAAATTTTTAATAGGTGGCACCACTCTTCTACATATATTTTTTGAAAACTCTACTTAATTTATTTAATTTCTTAGCTGGATTCTCAGAATGTGAGCAAGCCGAAAAATTCATTTACTTCCTTATTAATTTTAAATAGGTGGCAACTCCGGTCAATAATTTTTGCCTCTGAAATCCATTTATACATAAGGAACAATTGTAATAAAATATGTAATTTATTTTATGTAATAAAGAGCGTTTAAATTTTCAAATAGTTGGCAACTCTAACCAAAAAAATATTTTTATCTCAAGAGTTTTCAAAATTTTTAAATTATTCAAAAAAAAAATATAGAATGATATTTCACTCATTTTATAACTCTTTTCTTAAAAAAAAAAAATAAAATAAAAAATATGTGGCAACACCCTTTTTAAAAATATTGTTCCTTTCCACTTCTGGTCGGGGTTATCACTACGCGAATGCTGATGTTTTAAGGAACAGTCAGCTGCTCTTAAATTAACTCGTCAACGAGTATTTATTGGATGAGTGCATAAGTTCGTGCCCGATTCCGCTGGATGCCGTTCAAAAAATTTCAATTTTAGTTTGCACTTTCGATTACCAAGAATCTTGAAAATCTCCTCTAGTGCTTTGAAGTCGTTTAATATGACTCAACCAACGAGCTGAACTCTTCCAACTTTTTGTCAAATTTCCACGGAGCAGAAAAAAAACGTCAACTCTCTATTACTCATTGACCTCAAAGGTCAAATATTGAATTGACAAATCCTTTCTTGCCAAAGTTTTGATTTCAAATTTTATAAATCTGTTTTTCATTATTATGAAAATCTGTAACTAATAATGGCCAAAAGGAAAATGTACCTTTTTGTTTCTCTCTCGTCCTCAACCTCCCTCTCTCCCGTTTACAGTGCTACATGAAGGACTGAATCCTTCAACACTGCATTGCTTGAATAAATCAGGCTTATATTAAGTACATATGACGTAAGGAAAATTCGATTGGAATTTTGTGTAAACTAAAATATCCGACAAGGTTTGTGCTTGCCTCCTCTGTCGTATGGTAAAGTTATTGACATACCTACATCAGCAGAGCACACCGTTAGTTTCGCCTGTGTGTTGAAATAATGATGACTTTGCAATTTCTGTCAATTTTCAACTAAATTTCACTTAGGTAAAAGTTATTTCAACATCAAAAGTAGAAAGTAATAATAATGGCGGGGCGGGTGGATTACATAACGCATCACTCAATGGAGCTGGGGTAAGTGTAAAGGTAAAAGGAAATACGCAGATGGAGAGAAATGAATTAAATATGAATATTTTCATTGTCAATTCAACAGCTTGGCGAAAATTGATCAGCATTTCATGAGTACCGAGTGAGGTTATGTTTTACATATATATATATATACAAATACTTTAATTTTGCACCTCAAATTTTGATTTCAAATCTTATTTTAGTCTGAACGTTATTCGGAATTATTATTATAATATTCATTTTATTTTTTAATTAAATTTTTATATATATAACCTTAAATATTTTGATTTTAATTTTAATCTTAATTTTAATTTTAATTTTAATTTTAATTTTAATTTTAATTTTAATTTTAATTTTAATTTTAATTTTAATTTTAATTTTAATTTTAATTTTAATTTAATTTAAATTTAATTTTTATTAGAATTTTACGTGTGGGTATGTAGTATATACTCCTAAAACTAATATATCTATTGTATGTATGTATTCTGTATGTATGTCTTATTAATATTTAGCTCACATTGCCTTATTTGTCTGTTACTGCCAACTCCAAACTGACATGCATACTTGTATGCGGTGAAATGTGTAATAATGTAATGTGCGTACATACATACATACATGTCTACTCTGCCAAATGTCTTCACTTATTCACTATGCCAATTCAATTAGCTGACATCAGTGCCATTTTTGTCATTTTCGTCATTTTTGCCAATGCAGCACACACAATTTCTCTATATTCATATTACCATATGCATACATAGTTGCATGTATATGTGTATGTATGTATGCAACCTTGTCGCCGAATTTCCAGCTCAGACAAAGCCATCAGTGGTATTTTGTTGCAATTGAAGTGTAAGTAACTTGAACAAAGGCAGAAAATGAATGTATGCAAATTGCATATGAATGCATAAATGCCTGAGTATGTATGTACAATATGTATCTAAATGCTAAAATATGCACATACACGTACTTACAGATATGTAACATAACATTAGTGCAGACTACACAGTATTCTTTGCGATGTGTAATGACTTAACTTTACTAAAAAGCATTCACTGCATTTACATATTTACTTCTCTTTAAGTATATTCATATGGCTGTGTATGTGTGTATGTATGTATAATAAAACTTGCAGTGATTACTTTAAATGGCAGTTTGACCCTTTTTGTGTGTGCATAATAACGTGTCATTGTAGTTGTCATTGGCAATTGAGTTGTCAAACGGTATTAGAGGTTTTCACAGATTTTTGAGAAGAGCACAAAATGAGAGAAACTTTTGGAGAATAAGTATGTATATTGATTATACACACATGGGTTATACGATGCTGGCGAAGAAATTATTAAAAGACTTCAAAGTCATTACAAATGTAGAGTGGAACTCCCTCTTGCCTCTCCTCTTGCTTCTCCTTTCGCCTCTCCTCTCGCCTCTTCTCTTGTGAATTCTAGTTAAAAGTTAACTGATTATTTGAATTTGATCTCAAGAAATGACTTCTCCACACAACAAACTTATTTTCTTTTATCTTTTGTATTTGTGTGCCCTGGTGCTGGTTATGACTCTCTATAACTCTAATATACTGAGGTGACTTTTAGAGCTGTTGTTTATTACTAAAACTATCTTCATACCCTGCAAGGCTTCGAATCTGGTATTGACGCAAACGGCGGTCTTAGAGAGACGGAGTGAGCTTTCTCAACTGAGGTTCGAAATGAGCTTCTACCGAGCGGCTTACGCTGAACTAAGATGTTGAAGGACGTTGGGAACCTACCAACTTGCAAATTCGAGTGATGAAAGCGAGAACTTATGCATTAAAAGACAAAAAAAGGAAGCTACACCTATATGAAGCGAAATCTCGATAGCTCAGTAGTTACCTTCCACAAGGTATATGACACTGCACGAGCCTGGTAGCTTGAGCTGGGGTTATGAGGGTGATTACAGGGAATCAGGGCGACTATTACAGCGGAGTGGGTAATTGTAAGGATAGGTAATAGTAATCAGTACGAGATTTTCTTTCCAAAAACGGTCTCAACTCGGAAAAACCGCTCCGAGTTGACTGAGAAAGAACTATATGTCACTTGCTATGTTAGTAAAAATCAAGATAACCCCAGCAAATTAGAAGAAGAACACTACTAAAATTCACCTCAAGGATTTCAAACTGAGGTATAGACGATAGAAATTCTAGTTATGGAATTTATGATAAAGCGAAACTGCATCTGCATCCATTTAGGCTTGGCTTACAGCAACTCTTCCTCTACAGGCTACATTCAATCCAATCATCTTAATACAGATTTGCAAAAGTCACCTTGCTAGAAAATATTGCAGAGTCGCATTGGAAAAACTTTATATTCAGTGGCAGGGCTGGCACCTTATAGACCAGATCATCATCAGCTCTAACAAAATGAGCTACAACGTCTCCATCACCGGCTATGTGAGCAGATCATCAAGATCGTGCCTTCTTCGCTCAGTGCGGATTATCCTTGACAAAATAGAATTCAAACCACAATCCATTTCGATTGGCAATTTCAAAGAGCTGAGGTGGACGATAGAACTGCAAAGTCAGCCCTCATGTAGGTAGGTATGATCGAATAGCTATATTCTTGCTACGCTTCCTCTCTGCACACTATTTGGGGAAGTCTATTAAAAATTTATAGGTTCATTTACTACTTTAATCTACAATAGTTAGACCGACGACCTTTTTTTTGGGTCAGACCTAATTCCTAACCTAATTGCTCAGATACTTTTTATCTCTGATTAGAGGATTCCCAGTGAAATTTTGTTACTTTAATTATCAATTCTTTAGCAAATATTTCAGATATCCGGGTACGAAATGCGAGCACTAATGGAGCCAATGTTTACCAACTTCCTTTCTCACACTGAAGGATAGCTCAGAAATTCATATGTATGGGTGTTTGTATGTACGAGTGAAGTGCTGTAAAAGTGAGAAAAATAAAAGTAATTTAGTAATTTTTCCATTCATATACATACACACGCACCTATATATATATATATATATTCCAAGTAGAGCACAGTAGCTATTGTATGCGACTGGCACGTAAAAATTTTAATTTGCAACAAATTGCATGTCACTCATACGCCATGTGTGGCCGCTGTGGTGTTGATGGCAACAGTGCCGGCGGCAGTGGCAGCGGCAGTTACAGTGAATTTCCAATCAAGCCGATGAACTGCCTTATATTTTTAATATAATACGCTCGACGCATGTACATACATACACACAATGCAATTGCATAGGGGCGTGTGTGTGAGCGCATTTTTCACTTTTACACTTTTACACTTCTCATTATTTACCTTTCATGTTGATTTACTACAGTGCCAGCAGTAATAATAATAATAATATTTATAATATGTTGTATAAATCATGCGAATCCATAAGGAAGGCAAAAATATATTTTATTTCGTATGAAAAAATTAAATTAGTTTATATAAGTATATTGGAAAATATGTAAGTAAATATATGAGAGGGAAAAAATTTTTTTGCATATTTACCGGCGCTATAAATGATTTATAAAGAGCGCAGAGTGAACAAAAAATGAATGAAAGTGTTTGCAAAAAAAAAAAAAATGGAAAAATTCATAAAAATTAACTTGACATAAAATAATTTACGTATGGCTGCATGTTGCCAACCACAAACTAGTTGACTAACTGCACTGAGCACTCGACTGTTGATTTGTGATATTTTCCGGCTGGAAAACAAGTTACGTACTTTTTCACACATTGCGATTTTTTAACTATTTTCCACTAAATCTATTTTTTTTTATCACCCACAAGATAGCATTTTCCCTCATAAAAAAGTAAAAAAATATGTGAAAAAAAGGTTAAGCCTATAAATAACCATACACATCCCAGCATGTGCATACGTATGCATAACGGTAAGTAAGTGGCATGCAATGGCAGCGGAAAAAATGCTAATGAATTGCATCCATATGAATGAATACGCGAGTGGAGTTTTGCGGGCATTGAACTGTAAATTGCCGCAATTTATCAACCGACTCGACGATGACTT